AACGCGTGTAGATGGCTCCTTGTTTCCAAGCCATTTCTTGAACGCTGTTTTTTTTCTTTAATGCCAGTTGTGCGTCTCGTGTCCACCATGAAGATGTTTTCTGACCTCCAGGCGGTCGACCAACCCGTTTATATCCGCAGCATTCGGCGGAACCCTCGAGTATGCCGGTCTTAAAGAGCTGCCACTCGGTTTCCATATCAGTTGTCATCACTGGGATCTGTTCGAACCGTCGTGCAATGCTGTTTGCAAATTTTGCTCTCGTGTCCACCAAAGATAATGCCTTCCATTTGATTCTCCGGTTGCTTCTGCCACCATATCTTCGTATGGTTCTCCATTTCTTACGGCGCAGCGTGCCAACAACAAGGTGTTGATCGGTTGGTAGCTCTGCGCCTTACTTAACGTGAACATCCGTAACTGAGCGTCAGACGATACGATTATAAAATCTGTCATTGACTTCTGTTCACAAGCTTCCCTGTACCAGGTATTCTAATGCACTCTTCGATGTTTTAAGAAGGTGTTCATAAACAATGGACAATCCGTTGTTTGCACAAAACCGCAACAAATTCATGGGTTATTTTTGAGGTCGCTGGTTTTTCCATTCACACCGTTCCACTTTTCAGCTTCTACTCCGACATGCGCATTAAAATCGCCGATTAGTATGAGATACTTTGCATTCGGCACTTCAGACAGAGAGCACTGCACTTCCTCAACGAAGGTATCACATTCTCCCTCCAAATTGGGCGCGTAAACCTGTACCAAGGTCAACGCTTTGGGCGGTTATAGCTTCAGTCGGAGAATCAACCTCTTCCGCTGACAGTCTTCCAATCATTGATTCTATCTGTGACTTGGGTTCTACCAGAACACCGACACCGGCCCGATGGCGCGACGTGATATCGAAGCCTGAGTAGAATTGTATTTATGTATGTATGTAGTTATGTATGAATGTAAGTTTACATCCGCTGAGGTTCAGGAGTCGAGAGCCTTTGCTGTGCGTTGACATGAGTCAACACTGTCGAGTTGGTACTTTATGGCCTCATCAACTAACTCTTGTTTTTTCGTCTGAGTGAGGATATCTTCCAATTTCCGTCTTTAAGCTTCCATTGATGGTATTGTTCTCTTGATGCCTTTTCTGATGTGCTATAATGGCATTGTGTTGTCTGCCTCCTCCGTTCGGAACGGGTAGCGACTCCGTTGCTGACTTGTAT